CTTTGATTCCTCTGTCCCATCGATTCTTATTATTGTTTTCCGGCCATGGACACAGCGGAGGAAAAGCCAACATCTATTTGCGAAAAGCGGATGAAACATCTGGCCGAGGAAATTTAATTTCTAAGCTTTAGCTTTCAGTGCGCTCGCTTAGCGCTAATTTCTTGCCTTTTGTAACTCGATAAAAATCGACGGCCCTCTGTCACGCCCCCTCTTATTCTTGTGTCGGAGAGAAAAAAAAAAGTAGGAGAAAAGGCGACGATAACGTTCTTCGGTTCCTTTTTCGCTCTGATTGGAAATGTTTGTCTCCACATCGATCTATGATCCAAGCGTGCCGCGCCCGTTCACCCCCTCTTTCCCCCCTTTCCCCTCCTTTAGTCACCAGAATTTTTCCCGTACTCCGAAAAGCTCTTTTCTCTCGAGAACGCTTCGATCAGTTGTAGAAAAAAACTTGTCAACTCTTTCTCTTTATCTCTCTCTCTCTCTCTCTTTCTCTTTTTGAACGTTTATTGGGGGTTTCTGTTGAAAGCCCAAGACAAAAGCGTAAAAGGGGAAAGAACGAGAGCAGAATGGAAACAGAAAAGAGGAAAAAGATTATGGATGTTTGAATCTGATTGTGTGAAGTTTTCGAGAACTACAACTGCGCGATCAATTGAAATGACCGTGAATGTCATCTTTGTTTGTCGTCTATGGTTTCTGTTTTGTTCGGATCCCCATCTAGCTTTGTCATGCTTTATTGCGTTAACGGCTACATAGAAAAGTTATATCCTATTTTATTCCATGAGAAAGAAAGAAATGCGCGTCAATACTTTGTATACTTAGAGAGAGAGAGAGAAAGAGATAGGTATTAGAAGCATATACATATAAATAGAGGTATTAAAATTAAAATTTTTCTAATAAATAATTGAAATTAATTACATAGGATTAAATATTACATTTATATATGCGATTAAATTAAATAATGTCTGATCAGGGATTGTATTAGGCGCTTTTTATAGATAGAGAAAAATAGAAAATAGCGACTTAGATTTTCGAAATTCTTTTAAGCGAGCAAAGTTGGAAGATACGAGATATCAAGAAACGAACAAAGGATATCCAGAAGGATGCACTTGGTTTCAAGTGAAAATCAGAAAAGCTAGAAATCGTTAATCCTAGAGCGTTGTTTGCATATAGCAAACGGAGATAAAAAGCAAAAAATAGACTTCTGAAGGGATGACATGGGAAAAAAATCAATTTGTTCGCGCGTGTGATCTCCTTTGAGATTTGAGAGATCGCTCAGAGAATTTCGCGACCGACGTAGTCATCTCTAGTGAGATCCCTATTTCCTTCTATATTTCCCTTCCTTTTTGTAGCTCTCTTCAAATCGCCGTTTCTTTTTTTAATGATCTGAAAGAGGGTCATCTTTTCCCATTGTCAGATCGTGGCTGATGTCTTTGTCATGTTGACCGTCGATAAATCTCTTTGATAATACAGCCGGTTCCACACAACATGGCCAATATACATCAATGTTGGCCAATATGATATTGACGATGTTAACGGATAACAGTTGCTATGATGGCAATATGTAATTGTAAGTTGGCCATATGAAACTCGTGCACATGATATGGTCAATATCATATTGGCCAACATTAATGTATATTGGACATGTTGCGTGAAGCCAGTCATTAAGCGAACTGTCCTCTATTTTTTTCATGTCATCCCTCTATTCCCTCTCATCTTCTACCCGCTTCCGCTATTCGTATACATCATATTTTTCTTTGGAGAAAAAGATTTGCCCGAAAATAGGCTTTTTTCTTATGGAAAGAGAAGGGAAACGGAAGAAAATGTGGAACGAGGGTGTAAATGGCGGGCAGGGGTTGGTATCGCGCGCATCCGCCGCGAAAAGTCTCCACCCTTGCTTCCCCGAAGGCAGCAAGCAGGAAATCAGCAGTGGGCGAATGGCTGGAATCAGATTCTGCTGCTCGTGCGGGCATCCTTCTTCTTTTTTTCCTCTCTCTCTCTTTTCCGGGGCGGAGTGTTTAAAGCCCGTGAAATGGGCCGCCTCGTTCTTCTCCCCATTTCCCTTGCCCACGGTTTGCCGATTTTCTCGCTCTCTCCCTTTCGCTTTCGCTCGCCCTACAGGGTGAACTTAGGCGTAGGGGATTCTCCTCGCTAATGGCTAGTAGTTTCTCCCGAGGCTTGAAGGTTTTTTTGGGGTGCCAAGCGCTCGCGCGGTTGCCGAAAATTTTAATTGCCGTCCGTTAGAACTTGGCCCTTTATCTCGTGCACGTATTACTCAATGTTCAAGTTAGACAGAAAGTTTTACCGCAAGTTTGGCGAGAATATCTTTAAATTTCTTTAACTGCAGAGGAGACATATTAAAGGAAAAGGCTCATTAGCAAACTAAAAGATTATATATGTATATATACGCGTATGTATTTTTACAAGTGTGTACCTTACAAGTTAATTCTCTTGAAATCTTTTTTAAAAGTTTTTAAAAAAATGTTTAAACAATACTTCTAAGATTTAAAAAAAATATATATTTTTACAATTTCAAATGGTTTTGATTTTTAACTTTTTGATGTATAAAAATTTCCTAAATTTTATCACAGCAAAATTATGAAAAGATAATCTTAAAAAATTAAATATAGAGTTTAATTGATGTAACATGAAAAAAAATTAAACATTATCAGGATTAGTAATTGTTACGAAAAAATACTGACAATGAGAGAAAGAGAGAAAAATATCAGTTTTCATCTTTAAAACATACAGAATGCTTCCATTTACGTAGACGTAATTATTAATTACGATCAGCCAAATCCGAATCCCGGTTTGTCGATCTCAGATTTTCGTATCTGCCACGGATATTGTTCTGAAATAACGCCTGTTCATTCAATACATTTCCGCAATGATCATATTTGATTGTATTTAAATCAGGCGAAAAAAAAAAATAATACGCTCTTTCTCTGTTAAATCATGATTTATCAAATAAATTTTTTGAATTTGTAAAAAAATAATAATTTATGTTTGACATATTTAACTTGCTTCTTATATTTTTCTCTTTTTTGTATTCATCATTATTTATAATTTTGAACTGATAATATGGAAACATATTTTTTTTTTAAGTATATATAAATGTATTATTATATTTATATGGAGATTTTATATTTATACAAATTTTATATAATCTATTTCTATGTATTAAACATTCCTTTCAATTTTTAAAATTTGATTTGCACGATAAAAAGTTAATTTGGCGAATTAAATTCAGTGGATACGTTGGTTAACGGAAAAGTAATCGTCAACAAGTCTACTGGATAATCCAAATTTTTCCAAAATTGTTTTATAAATTAATTCCAAACTGACAAGCCAAAAAATAAACATCATTTGTTTGGATTCCGCTCTACCAATTTATATAAAATAGAATGCAGGAAACAAAAAGTTTTAGTAACAACTAATATTTAATTAGTTAGAAATTTATCTTATTTATTTCCATGATATATTGTCGGAAATATTTTTATTTTTAATTTGTTAAAACAATATTATTGTTTTGGTCAATTTGCGTATTCAGGAAACTCTCAATTATGCATATATATATAGAAATTCATTTAAAATCATCAGATAAAATTTATCAGATATCTTTTAAAAATTTAAACATTTTAAAAAGTTAATAATTTATTATATTTAATAATGTTATATTATCATTTTAATGGATATGTGTGTGTGAATATTTAATTATAATATATATAAGAAAATTATCTTGTTTAAATATATATAAATG